GATTTTTATATTGATAGCAATTCATCGTATTCATATATTATACATCAAAACTGTCATATATTATACATGTCACGTTCAAAACTCAAAGAACACAATAAATTATAATAAAAAATTAATCTTATTGCAATATTCAAAAAACGAAAATCAAAAAATAAAAATAAAAATCAAAAAGAAATGCAGAAAAAAAAGAAATAAAATACGAGTTAAAAAAAATGGACATTAAAGAAGAATCTAAGATTCGATAAAAAAAAGAAGAAATTTAAAAAACTAACTATCTCTGAATCAGTGTTTAATTACAATTTTTAGAATTTTAGAAACGAAGACAATGTTTAATTACAAGATCTAATTTTCTAAAAAATTCGAAGATATAAATCAAAACTCGAATTCTTGACTAACCATCGAAAATAAAATACCAATCTGATAATTTCTGCTATTGTTTTACGATATAATTGACAGTAACTCGAGCAAAATTTAAAGAAAATAAAAGCAAACTAACAAACTATATAAAATAACTATAGGAATAAATTAAGAAAGAAAAACGATTCAAAAATAATGTTAAAAATGGAAATTCACGATGAAAATATGGAAATCAAGTGAGAAAACAAAAAAAGATTTTTATTTTGAATTGGATCTTTAGTATACTTATAATAAATTTAATCTAAATATTTATCTTATGATCTGAAAATTAAGACAATGATCTCACGACGATCAAACAACGGATATTAAAAAGCAATGCAATCTAGACGATCAAAGAATATGAATTTGACAAATCTATCTAATGCGTAGTTCTCGGCTTGATATCGATTTTTCAAAAATTAATCTTTGAAAAATTTTCAAAGATTAATCTACGAAAATCGATTTCAATTACCAGGTCTCACCAACGAGGAGGTGACTACGCGTCGAGACCCACCTGAAAAAAAAGAAAGAAAAATACCACAAGCAAAAATATTAAAATAAATTTAAATCTGAAACATAAGAAAAAAAAATTAGATAAAGAAACAAAACAAATTAAACAAATCGAAAATGTAAATGTCAATGTAAATATTGATCAATATTTAATAAAACATGCAATGAAGAGAAATTAATATAAAATTGAAATATATTAAGATGATCTGAAAATCATAAAAAAACAAATTATTAAATAAAAAAATTGAAATACTTAACTAATATAAAAATTACCTAACTAATATATAATTACTAAACTAAAATAAAAGCTAATTCCCACGTGGTCCATCGATGAAACCTTAAATTAACTTAATCTAAACCTTAAAACTAACTTAATCTAGATCTTAAAACTAACTTAAGTTAAATCTTAGAACTATCTTAATTTAAATCTTAAAACTAACTTAATCTAGACCTTAAAACTAACTTAATTTAAATCTTAAAACTAACTTAATCTAGATCTTAATACTACACTTAAAATCTAAAATCAATGCGGCATCCGTAACAAAGATATCTATGTTCTATTTAAAACGAAACAAAAATACTACTATCGATATTTCTTTATTAAAAAAAAAAAAAAATACCTGCAAAGAAGAATGAAATCCAGACGAAAATAAAAAGAAACAACAAGAAAGAAATAAAAGAGAGAAAAAAAGAAATGGAAAGATTGAGAAGAAACGAAGCGAACTCTACCAAAATTCACTGCCGCCCTCGTATCACGACTTATGTCAATTGACTTACGCGAGTCGCCAAACAAATGACACTTACCAGTCGTGATCAATAGAGGATTACGACAGCGGCCTAATAGCCTGAACGCCTTATGTCCCAACGACACTGGAAGGAGCAAGGGATAAATCCCCGACCACCGGAGCCGAATTATAAAGACGACGATCAAACTACAAGACCAAACTCTGATCGAGTACCCGAAGATACCAATCGATCAGAGCGCGGATCCTCGACTGACCACCGGAAGATCACCCGTCCAGCGACTCTTGCAACTGTTGCGTGATATTTGGTCGATAATGAATTTGGAATTGAAATAAAACTCGAGGAAAGCTTGTGAAAGCGTAAGATTGAAGAATGTACGAACGACTTATACATTTACTAAATTACCATCAAGAATATTCGAACTGATAATCGCAGGAATAACAATCGATAAGATTTTTATTTCTCGTTGTAAACTAAGATATCTTTGTTACGGAATGCGTTCACAATAATCTTAACATTTATTTTGTTATATTTAAAACTAAAACTTAAAATTAAAAACTTAAATCTAAAACGCACGCATCCCACGACGATCCCACGATGCCCCGCGGGGGGTCAAATAAAGTGGTACCCGCAGTCCATTCTAGATGACCACAATACCCAAAGGGAATTTGGCATAAGTCTAGAATGGACTGCAGGTACTGCGTAGTTTTTAGCTTGATATCGATTTTTCAAAAATTAATCTTTGGAAAATTTTCAAAGATAATATTGAAAACTTTTCAAAGAATAATCTACGAAAATCGATTTCAATTACCAGGTCTCACCACGAGGAGGTAACTACGCATCGAGACCCGTTTATAAAAAATATATATAATATTATGTATAATATTTTTATTCAATAAATAATTAATCAAAATATATAAAAAAAAAAATATAAAAATGTAGATAAATAAACGAGGAAATAAAAGAATGAATTAATAAATGAATAAAAAATAAAATAATAAAATAATAATAAAATAATAAATAACTAATACTAAATAAATAAAAATATAAATTAAAAAATAAATTTATAAGTGAAAGAATAAATAAATGAATAATGAAATAAATAAAGTAATAAAAAAAATATAAATGAAATTATAAATTAAAAAATTAATTAAAAAATTAATCTACGAAAATCGATTTCAATTACCAGGTCTCACCACGAGGAGGTAACTACGCATCGAGACCCGTTTATAAAAAATATATATAATATTATGTATAATATTTTTATTCAATAAATAATTAATCAAAATATATAAAAAAAAAATATAAAAATGTAGATAAATAAACGAGGAAATAAAAGAATGAATTAATAAATGAATAAAAAATAAAATAATAAAATAATAATAAAATAATAAATAACTAATACTAAATAAATAAAAATATAAATTAAAAAATAAATTTATAAGTGAAAGAATAAATAAATGAATAATGAAATAAATAAAGTAATAAAAAAAATATAAATGAAATTATAAATTAAAAATTAATTAAAAATTAATTAAAAAAATAAATGAAATTATAAATTAAAAAATAAATTTATAAATAAAAGAATAAATAAGTGAATAAAGAAATAATTAAAATAATAAAAAAATAAATAATTGAAACTATAAATTAAAAAATAATTAAACTATAGATTAAAAAATTAATAAATAAAAGAATAAAATAAATAAATAAAATTATAAACTAAAACATAAAATAATAATTAAAAGAATAAATAAGTGAATAAATAAAATGAATCGATAAAAAAAATAAATAAAATAATAAAAAAGTAAATAAATGAAACTATAAATTAAAAAATAAATTAATAAATAAAAAAAATAAAAAATGAAATAAAAGAATAAATTAGTAAAAATAAATTAAAAAATAAATTTTTAATTAAATAAGTATGTAAATATCTAGAAAAATGAAATAATAAAAAAATATTAATTGAAAAGCAAATCGAATAAATAATATGTAATATATTAATTAAAAATAAATATTATAAAAATGATAAAAATTGTTTTCTATGTTATAAATATTTAATTAAAATATTATAGATTCGACCCTTTCGTCAGCGCGGTTCGACAAGTAATGAATTCTCTCGCGCGTCGTAGCTTGTATTTATAGAATGTCACTGTCCCGAAGTTCGACGAAAATAAACGTTCTTTCCCGATTACATTCAAATTGATTTTTCGAACATAATGATCAATAATTTTACAATTTTTATACTTTTTATTATTAATTTATAATCCTAATAATTTATTACAATAAAAAATGATATATTTTTACAAACTAAAATTGCATTTATGCTTCTCCAATATTATTTATTTATTTTTTTTGTATTTATTAATTTGATTACTTATTATATAAATTATACTATAAGTTATTTTTTTATCTACTTAATCTTTTATCTATTATTTTATCTATTTTTTTATAAACTCGTTTATTTATTCCCTTATTATATTTTTATTTATTTATTTATTTATTCAATTAATAGAAATATAATTTTTTAGATATCTTTGACACTCAAGAGATGGCGCTAATAGTCAATTCTTATTATATCTCTATTCTTTTTCTATTATTTGTTTTCCTTGTCTACATTAGTTTCATTTGCGGCACTCTGAAGATGGCGCTGATTCCATAATTTTTATCCTATTTCTATCCTTTTTTTATATCGTTCTCCTTATCTATATCTGGTTTATAAAATTCAAAAGTTGGCGCCAATATTTGATTAATTTTGTTACTTCTTTTTTAAAATTAATTAAAAATTTTATTCAATTCAATTTTTATATATTATAAATATATCTATAGATGTCTATTTTTTTATATTTATATATTAAATAGATATTTTGTATACAATATATTTGCATCCTTATATATATATTTTATTTATTAATTAGTTTTCATATATGTTATAGAAAATCTATATATAATTTTTATATATATTTATATTAAACAAATATTTATATTAATCAAATACACCGAAAGTATTTTTTACGAATATTTTTGAAATTAAATTGAACATGTATTATGTATAAAGAAAAAAATTATTTAAAACATCGATTTCTACACATTTAAAAATCATAAGGTTAATTATTAATAATTAAATTAGTTATTAAATTTATACACATAATTCCAATTAAATTTCTCTAATCCGATTTCCCAACAAATAGCAAATATTTAATATAGTGCGTTAAATTCAAATTCTTAATATATTGCATACTTTCACTACTTTATGTCACGAATATAAGAAAATTATGAATAATAACCAGGATATAGTTAAACATTTGATCGATTATAGGTATAAGTAAGCTCAAAAATCAAAGCTAGCCCGATATTATCTCGACCGTTGTTAAATTTCTGGTTTATCTGACAGAGCAGCTTAGAAAAATTGCAATCACAATGTAACGCATGTTGAACTACTTCTTATCTCGTGGCATTTAAGCGTCGGTATCCCTCGTAGGACTACTCATACACAAAGACTATAAGTCTACCAAAACATTTCCTGCATGCTTAAATCTTACTCATTCCTGATAGTGATATGACTAATTGCAACGATAATCGTAACATATAACGCAGCATGAAATTTCTTTTTCACGATTAGAGTGATACTTAACAATTTTGTAGAACTGCAAACGTAACGCAGAAATTGTAATCTTTGCCTTGCTTATTAATTATATCAAATAAGTTAGTGCATTGTTATAAGTTAATGTATGTAAATGATATGATCAATATATAAAATTAAATATGTATTTCAAACATGAACAGAAATTCATTTTTTTTTATTCTTACAACGAGGTTAACGACACGAATAAAATTCTTCTTTAAAAAGCTTGAGAATTATTATCAAGATTCCACTATTTTACATACAATAGTTACTTGAGCTAAATATCTCGCCGAATATACATGAAGAATCATACATATTATTGTTTTTCTACTTTCGCCATATGTGAATACCAAAAGAGATTAACGAAACTCGCCACCTTAAAATTTATAATTCCATGCTGGCACCCGACTGTTTACGCCCACGCATCGTTGCCCACAATGCAACGTGCACAAACACATCTGTTTGCCACTTCAGAAAATGTTGACTGCAATTCTACGAAATTATTTTATTTAACGATCTACGAAATTTTTCGCTTTTCATTTGATAATTTACAACCTAGTAAAAAAATCAATATTAAAACTACATAACATTTAACTTTTATATTATATATTTTTTATATTTATTTTATTATTTATATCATATATTATTATTTCATATTATGTATTATTTGTTTGCATCAATAAAATGAACATATTCCCTAATAAATATAATCGTCCTTCGCAATTTATATTCTTGGCGGTATTTCCAATGAAATTGATTTCTCAGGGAAAAACAATGCCTTTGTTCCGTTTTTTTATCGGTTACTTTACTCCATTACCTTCCTCCTAGTCGTCAACCTTGGTAAGCACAAAAGAGAATAAATATCAAACTACGATAAAGCAATTTCAACTTTGTCTTCCTGCCTGTTGTTATTGGTAACGAAAACTGTTATTATATTCTCTCCAATAAATTCGTCTATTTGATAAACTTAAATCTGAAAAAAATAAATAACAAAAGAGAAATATTTCTTTGTTAATCCATATATATATATAATTATATTGCATATAATTATTATTATTAAAAATTATATTGATCGATATTATTCATACATATATAGGATGAAAGTTGCATATAATCGCTTGTTTGCCCGGCCATCGATCAAATTTATTAACACGCGTGCTTATTGGCGATGTATCTTCTCGACCAATACGTTTTATCTCCAACGTTTGCAAACAGCACAAGCGAACCGAAACGCACGTGCGTTTTGCAAGAGGGAGCGAGTATTGACTCATTTCGCGCAACTTCCACGATTGTGTTGTTCGAACTTGCCCGCCACAGCTGCAACTGAGAGCAGAGTCCAAACGTGCTCGATTTCATGATCTCTCATTGTATTGCTTGCAAATTGTTCGATGGCATTTTTACGATTAAATTTTTCCTTCTTTGTTTCAAAATTCCGTGATGTCAGCAGCCTCATGATGTTATCTTAGATTTGTGTATCGCCACGGAAGGAATACAGCGATACTAATGAGTGTATGAATATAGAATAATGAATAATGGTAGCGGCTCATTTTTTCTTTTGTCGTATTTCGTATTTGCAAGAATTGTTATTCTAGATGCAATTAGATTTTGAAAGATTATATTCGATTGATAACTTATCATTAAGTATTTTATATATATATATATATATAAACTGGTATTATCTTGTATATCAAGAATCAGGATAATTGAATCAAGAAAACAAAAAAAATATATATATTGCATCGAAAAAAAAGAGAAACAAAATAAAAAATCAATATAAATAATAATAATCAAATAATATGTTTTTGTATTCGTCGATTCGCAATCATTATTATTGGCAACTGCTAAAATAGCTAGTTTTTTATCTGTATTACACATAAAGATAAGATAAGAAAAGAAACTTGAGCTAGTTGCACCAATAAACCAATCGTCATTTCAATTATTAAATGCGCATATGTTAATATCAAGAATTTTATTAATTTTATTATATATATATTGCATGATGGATGAGCCTTCTGTCTTTTTTTTACTAAAATCAATAAATGATTCGTTAACCTCGAAATCATTATGAACGAGACTTAACCTACATTTTAATGAAAAACAAGCAAATATGAAACGGACAAAACAACAAAACTTGTATATTCTCTGAGCACATATGAGGCAGATTACTCTCGCGGCACCGATTTATAAAATGGCAATGACATTCTTTGGCGTCGTAATTTTTCCAATCGGGTAACGTTTCAAATGTGCTGCTAAGTCGAGGCCTTGGCTATAGGCAGAAGTTAGCTCAAGGACGACGACCGCCTGTCTATTCGAATTTCATCATGGTGTGAAGCTAAGCAGGTGAATGTCAATCCCTTGTGCTTCATGCCCGTAATGAGACGTATCTTTTGAAGTATAATATTGCTAAATAGATATAATTTGATTAAAAATAATGATTATGTAAATAATTATTAGAAAATATAAAAGATAATATCATATCCAGAAGATAGATAATAGTAATAATAAACTCAATTAGAATCTTTTAATATTAATTAGATCATAACCTAAAATTAATTAAAACAACATCTTATCTTAGTTTTTAATCCTTTAATTTTATGCCTGTGTAATGTGTATGTCACGATGAAGAAAAATTGTATGTTAAATTACGATAACCTCTTCTTTTTGCTATTATTCCCATTAGATGTTTAAATCTAAAATAAAAAATTATCTTTCTTTTCAATCCGGTTGACAATGTGTCGCAGTTTACAAGTAATGTAACAAAAAAAGTAATCGTGCATAAAACTAATAATGAGATAGAACAAGATACTATTAACCTAACCTAGCTTCCTTGTGTATCTTGGTCACTTGGTTACACAGGTGGCACCTGTATGCTTTTAAGCGGAGGAAACCACAGGTTGAGGAACGTCTAGCCATCCAGAGGGAGCAGGTTAAGGCGCGAGTATCCGACATATCAGATTGGTGAGTCATGCGTCTTGTTCGATATGTTCCGGCTACCCCGTTCACCGCCCACACAACTCGACGTATGAGTCATCCGACGATTCTTGGAAATGAAGCGCGCCGCAAGTTTGAAATTTTCGTCGCCAAGTGACGCCACTGCAGTCTACTTTGGAAACACATGGCTATAAAACACAGTAGTACATAGATTCTGGCATTCAATACTTCTCTATTCTCTTCGGAAAGTTCCGCTCCAATAGTACTTATCAATTACGCAATAACGGATACACATATTGCTAATAAGAGAAAACAAATGATGAAATAACGTTGCAACAGTACTATACGAGATAATCAAAGATGAAACTAACTTGAAAAAGATTGTTGATTTCATATATATAATATAAAATAAATAAAAATAAAATTATTTTTCGAGTACGCATATAATTAATTGATACAATAAAAATAAATATAAATAATATAATAATAAATAATAAATAAATATAATATTAGTAATGAGAAATTATTTCTGAATATCATTATTTGATTTAAATAATATTTGCATTTGTGATATTTGTATTTAAATTTTGATTATTTTAATATAATAAAAATATTGTTTAATATAAACTTGTTTAATATAGATTTCATTATTTATCGTCTAAATAAAATATTATTTTATCTTTTAACGATTATTATTTAATGTGACAGAGTTCTGACAAAAAATACCCACTAATAATGTGAATAGAGCCGGCCCTGGCTCAAGCGTTGCGAACGTAGCACGACGAGCATCGGGATTGGTCGCCTGGGAATAGCTAGTGACGTCATACATGTTCGTGGAGCTTCGACAAGTAAAGAGAGTCGAGGCAGATCGTTGAGCCGAGGATTGAACGTGCGCGAACCTCGAGGTATTCCCCTACGGCATGAGTCATCGGGCACAGTTTCACACAGTTTCGGCTAAAGAAACCTACGATTCGTGTGTGCTGCTTTTAAATTCTTCTTAACAAAAATCTTAATCATTCTTATAGTTGTATCAGAATAAATCTTCTAATTGAGGTTATAAAACGCCGCGAACTCAACGCCATCGACTTTTCCTTTCGCGCGAGAGAACCGAACAAGTAATACCGTTGCGTCTTGACGACGTAAACATGAAGCTCGACGTGTCGGATGTACTTTACGACAGCTCGAGCGTGTCCAGCGACAGCGGAACGTCACAGAGCTCCCGCGTCAGCCATGATTTTCTCTCCAGCATCACGAATTCGTCCATACTACCTAGCAATGTAAGTACCGGCTGAGTTCTCTATTTTACATTACTAAGGAAATGTCATATTCCTCGAAGAAAAAACAGGTTTTACTATATAAATATGGCAACTTATGTAATCTTAAGGTACATATATACATGTAGGTGCATGAATGTTCGATAAACAGCATTTATTATTGCTTGTATGATATATGAATTTCTTTAAAATATTTGAATAGAAACCTATAACCACGAATAAAGATCTACTAAGTTTGTTACGTAATACAGCTATTTTAAATAATTAAGCATTATTCAAAATAATATGTTTCATTATTGCCAATATATTAAAAAAATAACATTTCTAGAAAAGACATTGCTCTGTCTAACCTTAATGATCATGAAACAAATAATTATCGCGTATATATCAAGTTTTATAAACTTGACATTAAAAAATAATAATAAAAATTCTTCGATTTCGTAGAAAAAATTTATTCGTTAAAAATCAGAAAATAAACAAAATGTTTTTATGTTATCTATTCCTTTTACGATTTCAAATATAATGTCTTTCCTGGTAACAAAAATTTAATTTAAAATTAAGGATAAAAAGTTTGTTGTATTATCTTCGTTTGATAAAAATTCGTAATTAATTAGAGCATATTTGACAATCTTTAAACGATGCTGTAGTCGTTACATGAGGATGGTACACATCGAGATCTAAATTTATAAATCGCGTGGCGTCATCGCTATAAACTGTTCAACGTAAAAACATGATTTTCAATTTTCATACTTTCCGACTGTTGAAATAGTGATAAGATTTGTTCTATAAATAAAACATGAATAATATTGGTACAACAATTTCAAATCTATTCCAATGCAAAATTTCAATATATATTCAAATAACATGTTTTATTGTCCCATCTGACTAGGTATCCATTTAAGGTACACACTATGCATATAAGTATCACCAATAAACATCTGAGTTACTACAGAATTAACCAATCAAATGCAATCTTATATATTATTGTCCGTTCACTTATCTGTAGATGAATAATATCTATTGAAATATTTTTTTAACGGAATTATAATTAATAATAAATTATAGTAATAATAATAAAATATTGTTAAAAAATTAACGATTAAAAAATAAGAAAATATTTAAACATATACTACGATATACAAAATTTCATTCGAATTTAAATAATTTTGAAATAACATTTTAATAAATGATGAATAAAATTTTAATTCTTTTTTAATAAAAATAAAATTTTAGAGATAAAATTAAAATAATAGTTACTAATTCTTATCTATTACTCAACAAAACAGGTTCCCGTGAAAAACAGAACATATTGATGTCGAATGCTTTTACAGATATGAACGATTACGTTAATTTCCATTTTCTTTCCCTTGCGTCACTCTTGGCAATAGACGCATATAAAAATTACGCGTGTTTCCTATGTTACATAAAATATCGCGTAAATGAGAAATATGGTATATAATCCAACAAAATTCAATATCACAAGATGATAAAACGATAAAATCTTTTGATATAAATTTCATTACATGTTTCACTCTTAACAATTTTAATCGAATTTTTTGAATATGCTATCCTATCGAAGTTTCCCTTTTTACCCTAGGTATAAATTCTGTGGTAGATGACGGTATTGATCTAGTATTTCGACTGACATGGCTTCTGTTGTTCACAACAGCTGTTTTATAAAGAACTCGTACACACTCAACTCGACAGCGCGTGGTCATTTAAAAACACGCGCGGCACCAACACGTTAACACACGTGCGCATGAACCTTAACGTTTATGTATAGTATAAGAAAGGAACAACTATAGATCGTAGTGTATATTGCGCAGTAGTAATGTTTTGAACAGATAGCCGACCGAACAGCCAGCTGTTGTCACCTAATTATCTCTGTCGCCATTAACAGTAAGGTTAGAGAAGAAAGACAGAGAAATCAACTGATAAAATGCAAATAGTTATTGCGGAGAAACATTTGCGAGTTCTGTCAAGAAAACTTTAGCGCATGATGTGATTTATAATTCTAAGTTTATAAGGTTTAGAGAAAAAACCTTCTTGCATTGTTCCATAAAGAGTCGACATAAAGACCACTATATTCAGATATTAGATAGGAAAGAAAATTTAGGTAAAAAGAAAATTTATAAGGTATTGTGATGAGAGATATTTGAGTTTCAATTATGAGAATTAAAATTTATTCGTTTTTGTTCTTTCTCATTTATTCGTGATCAAATTTATCAGATTAACTTATGGTGACTATTTTTATACTAGATTATTAGAGAGAAAGTATATATTTATTTGTCGTTTATTTGTTTTGCATTTAATTTTTTTTTGATCCTTTGTTTTAAACAATTATTTAAATAAAACTTTTTATATTGCTTTTTTGATATTCTTTATTAGTACTCGGATCATTATAGTTAATAGTTAAAATTCCTTTCAAAAGAAGCCATAAAACAGTAAAATACAACTTCGTTCAAAGGATTATCTGTTACAAGCATATCAAACTATTCTCAGAACTCAAAGCTTTCGATTTGTCGATGGAACGTGATGCGCGGGAATCAGTAAGCATTCAATCGGCAACAAAGTCACGGAGACGTAATCTTGTTTCCTGATACTTTCTTACCCATTGTATCTTCTTTTATTCCCGATAGGGAATGTTTAGTGTTCGTGTTTTATCCGAGCCTAAAATAAAGAAACCGAATCTTTTGATGCGTATATTCAAGAAGAAGAATAAGAATCGATTGATTCACAATGATGTGTCTGATTATCTATTCTCTTTTGTTCTCTTAAATATTCAAAATATCGTCGTTGTTCCAATCCATTTATGCACACTTTTCCCCATAGAAGAATCGACAAGGTTTCCGCCTTTCCCTCGCATGATTTTCGGCGGCCATTATTATGCTGCGCGCGCAATGCGAGTCGATCTTTTGGTTTACCCACAAACATTCGATTAACCCGCTACTTCAGCCGCGTGCTCATTAAAATGTCTCTTTGTTCACGGTAAGAACAAAGCCATGTGGTTGTCGTCGATCTTTAATTTTCCTTTGTATCCTCGATGGTGAACGTGTCATAAGTGAATCGTAAGAAGTCATCGATTCTTTTTTCTATGTGATTAACAGGATTTGTCAAAAATTTTCCTAACCTTTTTTCTTAACCTTTTCAAAATGGTAAATATTTTATTTTTCTTAAGGAATTTGTTTAAGTACTTGGCTTTTAATTAGTAATTATCTCGAATGCTTTCGTATATATCGTATATATTACATAAATGTATATAACTTATATATATTTCGAGGAACAATTCAAAACGAATCTAACAAAGAATTTTTACTTTAGATAATTAGAATATAACATCAATCTAAAATTAACTTGATTATAATTTTGATAGGTTTTTTAAAAAATTGTTTTTTTAATTGAATATAAGTTTAGAAATGGTTAAGCAACCATTTGGATCGTTTATTATACAGTTCGTAGCGTGCATGAGTCATACTTTATTGACATACTGCGCTTCTTGCACGAGACTTTTCACCAAACAGAGCCATAAATCTGCCAAAATTATATTTTCTTCAATGTGTTTTAAGAAACTGATTGTTCCTTGCCCTAAGTAATACGAAGGGCTTTGAACTTTGAACTACGCATAGCAATAATTTTCAAATATACGAAACATAGTCGTAAATCACAATATTGACTCTCATAATTTATATTATATCTCCTCTAAATAGTTCTTATGAAAATACAGAATTTATAAAAAGTAAAAAATAATTTCTTTTCTTTAAAAAAATTTGGATATTTAATAATATATAATAAATAATTAGTATATTTATAAAAATTTATAATAAAATTTTATCGTTCATAAAATAAAATAAAGAGGAGAAAAATTTAATTTTTCTAAATAATAATTTAAAAAAAAAAAGAAAAAATAACGATAATAAAATTTTACAAACGTCACATTTCTACAATAATCTTTATGACCTTTTCTCTGTGCATTCTGCACACAGTAGTTGGCTACGCATGTTGTTCTTTTCTTCTCTTTCTTTTTTTTCTTTATTCGTGCATAAAGTACGTTCACACGTACATTGCACCGGACTAACAGAGTTTACACAGAGTTTGTTGCACGTGTGTTCACGATGTATATATGTTATATCGAACAAGAACAAAGAACTGTGCATATACGAAGGAATTCCC